GTACCCAGTACTCACTCAGTATCCAGGCTGTACCACCCCTGTCGCCACTCACTGTCGTACCCAGTGCTCGTGACACCCAGCGGTTACTCACCGACCAGCTGTCCGATGCCGGACCACACGCTGCAGGGGAAGTCCAGCAGGTCCACCACCAGCACCAGCAGCGCCGGCCAGTCGCCCATGCGGCGCATCAGCAGCGAGTAGTCGGCCGCCGGCACCGTCACGTTCACGGCCGTCTGGTGGAAGCGCAGGAAGTAGCAGCGCTGGCAGACCAGGTCGCGCAGCTCGCGCTCGGGCGCAGCGCGCAGCACCTCGGCCGGCAGGTAGCCGGGCCAGGCGGGCTCCTGGCAGTGCAGGTGGGCGCCGCAGCCGCCGCACACGGACCGGCTCACGGGCACGGACGGGTCCGGCCGGCCGTAGCGCAGCACCCACAGCTCGTCCTGGTCGGCGCCGTCGGCCGCGGCCGACTCCTCGCGCACGGCCTGCTCGCGCAGCAGCCGCACCCGCTCGCGCACTGACTGCTGCAGCCGCGTGTCGGCCGGCAGCGGCTCGTCCGCGGGCTCCCGGTCCCGCGGCGCGTCCGTGAACTGCACGGGGGTCGGCGAGGCGTATGGAAACGTGACCTCCGCCGGCGACCGGGATTCAGATCCCGACTGGGCGGCTGAGTCTGAGGCGTCCACTGAGCCACTGCTGGACATACTGAGGAAAACGGAGGCAGGCAAGCTGGACTCTGGCTGCTGCTTTTCCCACCTGGCTCTTTGCATCCTTCTATGGAGCTGCTGAGCCTCATATTTTGACAGTCTTGTCAGCATGCAGTTGTATATTATTCTCTTGTCATTTTCAGGTGTCAGCTCTTTGGGCTGCTCTCTGGGTGTATTCAGCCACATGCGCTGAACATGACTTGTTGGCACACCATTCCGAGATAAGAGTGGGTTTAATGTTCTGATAGATAGTTGTTGGACTCTGTACAGTCTCCAAACATGCATGATAAACGGACTTGATGGTGCCCCCACCATTATCACTGAAATTAAGGAAGATCATTACACACATTTTATTTAAATAAAACAAACCTCAGCCTCAAATATACGCACCTATCTATCATTTACAAGCTGCTTTATGCAATAACCAGAATGCCCAAAATACAACCAAAGCTGCTAAGAATTCTGAAAATTCAAAATTCATTAAACATTATCACATCAAGATGCAATAGAGGGTGACAAATTGCGAGGCAACTAGGCATCAATAATATGCCTATACGGATACCGTAAACCGGGGTGACTTTGTATCACTTTTGACCATTAGGGTACAATATCTTCTATATCACTTGAGATTTCACTGTGGAAACTGTTTCATCATACCAATTGGACAATTCTCTATCTAACTGAGTACAGTAAACATATTGAAATTTATCATAAATATTCTATTTTTTGACCTGAAAATTGATCATTCTCACCCAGAGGTCGGGGTAACTATGATCACTACAATAAAATCACCTTATATGTGGCATAGGAGCCCTCAGAAGGGGCTTGTGTGATAAACTCACATGTTTTAAATAAAATTAAAGGCTTTGCTTGACTAAAACTCCAACATTTTACAGCAAAACTATTAATCATTGAGGTATTAAAATAAAGTTGCATGCTCCGGGTCTAAACTCACATTACAGAGCTATAAGCAGTAAAATTAGCTACTTTAACCTCTGACTTCAAGATTAAGTAACAGTCACAGATGTCCTAAGCCACAGGCTACCTGTCCTACATCACACTTTGTCTGCTGGTGGCTGTGGGACCACTTGCCACACTGCTCATGACCCTCCCAGTTGATTGTCTTTTTCACTTCCCATTGATGCTCCAATTACCACTGAGATAGAGCAGCTCAATGCTCATCCTCCATCCTCAGTATCTAAGCATTTGCTTTCTCTTTCTTTATATGGGTCTTTATTATCTTTACCATTATTATTGCTGGAGATGCTAGCAAATTTATACTTCATGCCAATGACAGCAAATAAACAAGCTGTGACATCAGCATGATTATTTTAACTGGGGCCGAAAGTGTCTGCTATAATGCTTTATTGCTTTATTAAACCATTGGCATAGAAAATACAGTTCACAGCAGCAAAATGCTCATTTTAGGCCTGAAAATGGTCCATGATCAAAGTCACCCCGGGTATCATTGTCACCCCGGTTTACGGTAGGTACCTACTTGTCAACAATGAATAATGAGCTTTTCATCGAAACTAAATGAAGCTAAACAATATTTTCATGGTTCTGGACCTTCTTCAGACTTCAGAGAACTCACTGAATAATCACTGATTCCACCAAAAAAGGTCCAGATTTTTCAGCATCATTTTGTGGCATTAGTAGAGCAGACGTCACACGAAGGTTTTCCAACCGAGGAGGCGCTGTAGGTTTTGTAGGTTGTAGGGTAGGTTTGTAGGTTTGTAGGTTGTAGGTTAGGTTAGGTCAGGTTAGGTTAGGTTTGTTTAGGTTTTCCTAGAAAGAAGCACCACCGGGCGCCGGGTATGGCGCCTCTCCTTGGTTTGAAAACCTTCGTGTGACGTCTGCTCTACTAATATGAATACCCATTTAGTAATGACCAAAAGCTTCTTATTCCTTCTTAACAACCATAATCATAATCAAGCTAGAGAGACGTTTCAAACCATCTACACAAATATTGAATAACACTAACAAGTAACCATGGCCCATACCAAGTAACCAGCTCCAAACAATCCCGGAATAATGATATGAAAGACAACTAGTCAACGCCATTCACATCAAGGCCCTATATACCCAAGGCCCTATATAGAAGGTATGCTCATTAGGCCGAGGCAGCGATTTCCGTGACGTCACTGGTACGAAGGGTCGGACGGCTGTAATGCAATCCTATGGAAAATGACCCAACTTTAGGGCTCTCCCACATAGCTGCCAACCTCGACACTAAGGTAAAAGTTACATCACATAAAAGCTCAAATCAAGACGAACAAGAAACCTATCTGACGTTCTTACGTATTACTAACGGCTTAGACTCTATTCAAGTATATTCAGAGCTCTGCATTACCTCACCTTTTTTGCCGTCAATGCCACTACAAATGTCTAGTCGGGGCACGTGCGCTTGTCGAGCGGAGACCACCAGTCGGGCGATTCAGAGCTGCCGCCCAATCAGAACGCCGCAATGCCGTGACGTCATTGGTCGCACACGACACGTTACGGAGATAGGGATGAGACAGCCCTGCTATATACCAGGTAGGGTCGTCCGGCGATTCTACCTTTTCGTGACGTCAGCTCGTGACGTCATTTGGAGTCAAGTCTCGAAGCCCCGTTCAATCCCCATGTAAATGAGCGATTTTCGAAGCACTGTAGAATGAAGTCTGCACAAGATATATCAAACCTTAGTATCTTATCTGAAAGAGCAGACAATTTTCTGCAAGTTATCTATTACGTGTTTTTCGCTAAATCTTTTGCTTTTTTTCACAAAAGCGTAAAATGTCCCCTCATGTCTCCGCAGCCTCCCTGCCGCCAGCTGCCGCGCGGTCGCGGTAGTGTAGTGGTTAGCGTGCCCGCGCAGTATTCCAAAGGTCCCGAGTTCGAATCTATGCGGTGCGGAACTTTAATTGCAAATCCAAGCTGAATATACGCACATCCATAATAAATTATTATTCGTATAGCTAAACTGTCACCAATTTATCCATATAAATTGACTTCACCCAAAATATCGGCAAGATTCTATTAAAATATAAATTCAAATATGGCGGCTTGGACTGCCGCGTGCGTTAGGCTCCGCCCATAGCTCCGCCCACATGCGTGACGTCATTCGTGTTAGTGGACACACGCGGAGATAGGGGACGACATGGGCCTGATTCACATCAAGATCACATTGTCACCATGGATTAGGTATTCCTGGATGGGACACTCCGCCGATTTTCCGACCACCCGGCGGCGGCGGCGGATTTCCCGACGGCGAGGGCGCTGGCGCCATTTTAGCATTGCGGGCTATGGGCGGAGCGTGTCTTTTTGTATACTTTTGTCGTTTATTACTTACCTATAACCGATTTTGATGAAAATTTTTGTGAACCTGGTAGAACAGGAATTGAGGAATGTCATGGAAATATTCTTTTCCCAGTTTTGAATTAAGAAGTTGCTTAAATTCTGCTGACAAGTGAGGGTTCGTGATTACAGCTGAAGAGCCAATGTTGGAATAAAGTTAAGTTTTATGCGATAACATGAAAATAAGTTGATATTTGTATTAAATCATCAATAGGAACTTGTTTGACTGCCGAGGAACGATGATATTTGATGATAAATTGCATCGGCAAGTCAAGAATACCGGCTCAGTTTATGGGCATCAGGTAATGATTCCGTATGTGATAGTGACTAAACGGAGCCATAATAATGATAAGAAAGGACTAAAAATTATGTTTAAAGGAAATAGTTCACTTTTAACATGGGGTTTTGAGCTGGAATAGCAGTTTCGTAGCTTGAGCTGAGACTAGCACAAATCAGGAGCTTTTACGGCTCAACGATCACCCTAGACGAAGATATTCCATTTCTCGTTCCGAAAAGAGTGCCTTGTAGAGGAATGCGTGCCTTGCACAGGAATGCAGCCACGTCATCGTCAGCCAATCAGCGTGCTGCTTACAGCCAATGCAGTATGCGTAGGTTTGAGCTACGCAATATGATTGGTCAATGCGTAATAAGCTTCCGCGTCAAACATTATTTTACATATAATATAGTTCGTCCTATATTAAAATATAGAAAATAATTGTTTTTACAAAAAGGTTTTATCTTATTTCATGATTATTTTGAGCATAAAAAATCATAAATCAATAGCAAAATACTGATTTCAGGAAAGTGGACTGTTTCCTTTAAAGTGTCTGAAATTGTGTCTTATGAGCTAAAGTCCGCTAACTTCGCCCTCCATTACCACGTTTTTAGCACGCAAGCCGGTGCGGCGGCCGCCGGCGCACTCGCCGCCGATGTTTCGGAGCTCCGCCACCAGGGCGGCCGCTTGGTCGCCGGCGCTAGTGTTGGGGAATAGGGAGTGTCCTATCCAGGAATACTTCATCCATGTTGTCACATTGATCACATTGTCAATGATTGTCAATCAAAGAGATAAGGTATAGTATTATTCTTTGTAAATAATGCACAGCGTGAATTAGCCAATACTTGTCGATGATTCGCTATTTTTTCGTAATTTGCGCTACACTTGCTAAATTTTGATAAAAACGAACATTAATCGCATTTTGCAGACGTCTCAATAGCGCAATGGATGACTAAATTTGGTAGCCACGGCAACAAAACTACTTCATACCTTTCAATGTTTTCATCTTCTGGATAATTTTCCCTTTACCTCGCCGGATCAATTGGTTTTCTGCATATCCTCCCGGTCGAGGGGTTGGGGGATGGGAAGGGAGATGTGGACCCTCTCTCTCCATAGGCGTCGCCAGGGATTTTCGGTTGGGGGGGGGGGGCAAAATCAACTTTTGTGTTAAATCTTATTCTTGCCTTTCCCTAGTCGGTCACTCGTTTTACCTATCATTCGACGCACAATAGTGCGAGGAATCCGATGGTGACAACGTTTTCCTTCTAGCTATGACATACAATTTTTTACTGAAAAATTCGAAATTTTGAAATTTCTGGACAAAAACGACCGGTAGAATTGCAGTGGCTGCGATAACCGACAGAGGGCCCCTGTGCAGACGCTCGTCGCTCATGATCATTATTCATTACCCAGTAAAAAGGTGAAAAACGCTCCATTTAATCCGATCACCCTGCTAAAACCTCCATTCACGCATGCATCCAGAGGTTTTACGTGAAATGCATAGGGCCATAGGCGTAGGAACAGGGGGGGCCGGGGGGGCCATGGCCCCCCCCCCACTTTTTAGCCATTTTTTAAAGTAAAATCTTTATTTTTTATTTAAATACAAAACTAAGAGCAGGAAATGATTCAGCAAGGTGAGATGAGCACAAAACTGCAAAGAATTTCTTCATAGGGGTATTGGGGCTCCCACAAAGTGACATTGAAGTTTCGCTGGCCCCCCCACTTTTCGTGAGGTTCCTACGCCCATGCATAGGGCTCATCCCAGCCGCCGATTGTAGCTAAGTTGGGCATTCGGCGGAGACTGAGAGTGAATGTCGGAAGTGCGAATCAGAAGTAATTCATCTTTGCTCCAGTGAGAGGAACTGTTTTGTTCACTCGAGTGTGAACAAAAAATTTCTCGTTTTTCGTGTAAAGGAAAGCGCTGCAAACGCGAACAAAAAATGCGTAACGGAACCAAACTGATACGCACGGCATAGCGGCAAGGGATCCCTTAGAGATAGGCTTGGGACTTCCAGGCCATTTCAGGCCACTCAGGGTCAGTGTGGACTCTCAGAAGCCTGCTTAGGATCCCGGAGATCGGCGTGGGTCACCCCAAATATGTACGTGCATGTGGTGCTTTAGGGTTTTCCGAGCCCAAGTTGGGGCCCTCAGAAGCTAGTGTGGGTGGCAGACGCTAAGAGACTAGGCCCAGGGTGAGCCTGGAGCCCTCGGATAACAGTGTGAACCGTCGGGGTCTGTGTCGAATCAATAAGGACCTTACGTAGGAACATAAGTAACATGTGTTGCGGCTCTCAGAGGGACACGTGAGTTGTGACGCTTCAGATGCCGGCTTGGGGTCAGAAAAGTCTGTCGCCTCAAAAGTTCGGCTGAACTATCAGAGGCCAGTTAAGGTTCTCAGAAATTTTCGAAGGCATTCTCAAAGATTCGTATGGCCCTTCAGAGTTCTACGTATGTATACGGTACTCAAAGATCCCTGTATGGGCCCTCAGAGAACACGGACACCAGCGGGACTCTCAGAGGCCGGTTTGGGCCCTCTGCAAGCTTCTTAGAGCTCAGTGGAGCTCCTTAGGTGCCTGTGTGAAAAGCAAGCTCATGAGCCCTGCGGCACTTGAACGGTACTTGAGCCTGTCGCAGACATTTGACGAGAATTGAGAAAGGCCCCGAAGATTTCGTGTCACGCTTGAACGAAATTATGTGTCAGAACTCCAAAACTTATGAAAATCAGCTATAGAATGTAATAAAAAACCAACTAGGAACATTGAATGAATCACAGAATTGACATTTCCGAGTGTGGAGTCGGAGTCTTGAAGATTTTGGCGACTGCGACTCTGACTCTGGTTTGAATAGCACGCTCTAACCGAGTCTGACCTCACAGGCATTCTCAGAAAGGTACCCCCATTTTTTCCCGACTCCAAAATCTCATCGGATCTGTATCGATCTCAGGGGGTGCCCGGTCCGAGGCTGGGGGGCAAGCTGCCCCGCTTGCCCCCCCCCCGTGGCGACGCTAATGCCTCTCTCTCACTAATTCGCCCCTACATCAGCTAGCTGAGCTAGAGCTTCGCCCGGAAAAACGAGCGTGTGAACTGTGCGCCGTCACGATTCGCAGCGCCAGCGCCCGTTTTAACTGGCCACAGAACCTGTGGCCAGTCAACCGGTGAACTCTTAGGTCAGGTCAAGTGACCCTCGGATCAGGTCAATTGACCCTTGACTTTTGGCATTTAGCTTCACTAGACACTAAAAATGTTCGCAGAGCTGCTACTAAGTGCATCCTCATTCCTCATGTTTGCCTTGCTCCGGCGCGATAAATGATGCATTTTTTTTTGGGGGGGGGGTGAGGTAAACCCTTGGCCAGAGGACAAATTTCAACTTGACCCTTCGCAAAAAAAAACTCAGGAAAACCACAGCACCTATTTCTACGGGTTTACCCTTTATCCCGCGGTGGGTTGCTATTTTGCCCCCCCCCCCCCCTCCACTCTCCAGGCTTTTCGATATTAGGCAGCTCTAGAGCCGCTGCGCCGATCGTCATCAAACATTCAGTACCCTCCCGGGCATCAATTTTACACATTGTGACCAATTTTTTCTTCTTCTAAAGGCTATGATAGACTGGCCGCAAATTACGTCAGAGTGACGTCATGTTCTGCCATTTTCGACCCAAAAAAGGTTCCGCGGGAAAAGAAAAACGTTTAAGACATAAAAGGTGTAGAATTACCAGGGCTACTAAACTGTCATCTCGAAATTTGTTTTTTTTATTTTGACCTCCAAAAAAATAAGATGAAAAATTGCAAGCTGTTAGCTGCAAGAAGGCCAGGGTCGGGTCAACTGAGGTCAACTATAGTTGACTAATTTGACCTTATAAGGTCAAATTACGTTTCTGCTACTAACTTAGCACACAATGAGGCTAGGGCTTCAAAAATGGTGTCATTGCGTTCCCTGCGATCAGGCGATTCGAATGCTATGGGATATGATGCACTTTAATTAATTGAACTTAATTAAATGCTTTGAATTCATTTAATTCTAAGCAAATTTTAAGTTAACTTAATTAAATTGGTATCAAAGTACCTTTATCATTCGATGTACACGGACGTCGTGAGTTCACTAGTGTTTTTATTTTTGCTCTATTTTTACTAGATAAAAAGATGTAGGTAAGCGAAAATCGTTTGACATGTTTTCGCGAAACCTTTGCATTTATGCCCCCCCCCCCAAAAACCCTAAATTTGACCTAGAGCAACCAAATTTGCACAGAGGCGAGCCGCGAGATCTCCTAGGCCCACCTACCCTGTCACCTACCCTGTAACTTTGGCGTTTCAAGTGCCGTAGGAGCCAATAGGGGGGTCATATACCACCGGCCCTTCGCTGTCCGCGTTATGAAAAAGGCCCTCACCTGGCGAGGGTTAAGTCGTTTCCCGCGACCCGTTGTGGGGTGGGGGGGGGGGCAAAGTGCTCCCCTGTGGTTTTTCGCAGATAACTCAAAAACGGCTGCGAATTTCGACTTGAAACTTTCAGTATCTCTCCAGACAGTCAATTTTACACAACTTCTGAAAAAAATTAGGTCCCAGGTCATCTCAGGTCACGAGCTATAGAGGTCAAACTGAGGTCATGTTCGGCGATTTTTCGACGAAAAAGCTGTTTACGGAGAAAAATCGCAGAAAATCAGAGTTTCAACTAAGCGACTCAAAAATTTGACCGTAGGTATAAAAAGGCATGACAAACAAAATGGCTATCTGGAAAAGTGCTAACAAATTGTACTAATTAATTGCTAATTGGGCACCTTGGGGAAAAAGCCCCCTGGTCTGATCGGAAAGACGCCTCCCTAAATCCGTAGGCTGCCCTTCAAGGAACCTGTCGAACCATTTAGTACATACTTGTGATGAGAGACAAAAGGCTATTTGGGACTATCGAGAGTGCAATACGGTCAGGTGCTCCCCATGCCGGTCTCTCGGCCCATACATCGACATTTTGGGTAGCATCTGACTCTGAGAGCCCTCACGACGGCCTCTATGGGCCCCATTAATGGCTCCAAGACCCCTCACAGCATCCCTTGGGGCCTCCCACGCTGGCTCCATGGGCCGCGCTGGCATCTTATGTCCCCACGATGGTGTTGAGGGCCCTCAAGCCTCATGAAGACCATAAGACCCGCGCAACGACGGGGGGGGGGGCGGTTACCCGCCCCCTTGATATTTTTTGTGAATAGCGGGAAAACTGCAGCGCGTAGCGCCCCGAAATTTAGCACGACTTTTCTCTCATTAATTTTACACATGGTGTGTAAGTTTGAACCTCCTACCTTTAAAGGTCAGGTCACCAGGTCACTTCGAATGACCCAACCTCAAATCACTTTTTTGCAACTTTGTCACCCGTGTAGGGGAGAGTGGGGCACATTCGTGCAAAAAATGGATAAATCCATATATCTGTTCTTTGACTAGTGCAACGGCAAAATTGTTGATTGTAGTATGGAAAGGAACTATTGCAATATTTTCCTCTTGAAAGTTATCCTCTAAAATTATTGCTTCTATTTGAAAAAATGACTTTTAATAACTCTGAACGTTTGCACGAAACTGCCCCACCTACGGGGCACATTCGTGCAAGGGATGGGGCTCTTCCGTGCACCCTGCAAAGTTCGAGAAATTACCGGGCATTACCAGAAATTTACCAAAGGAAATTGGCAGGGGGTCATTTCACTTGATTCCTTTCGACAAGAATTGCACAACATATGTAGAAAGAATGGGCTAGCCAACAAGAATATGCCAACTGCCGGCCTCCGTGACCTCGCCAAGTTCGCGTGAATTACTCGTCACGACG